TTTGCAATCTGGCAGATTGAGAATTACAGGAACAATCTACTGGATCCTTTCTCCACCAGAATCCACCAGAGAATTAAGCCCTAAATGCCCTATGACATCCACTGTGCGTAGTGAATGAACGTCTGTCCTATGGATCCAAAATGGTGCTCAATGTGTAACAACCATGGGAGAAACGAGAACAGAGTCAACTGAAATCACTTTCTGTGACCTGTCATTCTGAGGAGGAACCTGAGTTGGAAAAGTTTCCAGAGCATCAAGTTAGAAAGAGTGGGCAGAAGGGCTGGGGACTTAGCTCAGTGGTGCCACGCCTGCCTGGCAAGGGCAAGGTCCTGAGTTCGATTCCCAGTACCACAAAACAACACAAGAATTACAAAAACCAAAACCAAAACCAAAAAAAGCACTAGAAAGAGAGGACAGAAAGCCCAATGGAGATCCTGAAGCAAAATGTCTGGAGCTGAGGTCAGGTGAGACTGCTTCAGTTCTCCAGGCCTGCAACCTCACAGGAAGAGCGTTTCAGGGAGAAACCTGTGACCTCTCCAAGGATTCACAGCCTGGATCTGTTAGGGAAGTGACAAAGCCCATTGGACTCTCCTCCCAAGCAGCCATTTTGGGAGGCAGCTCACACCTGGTAATGATGGCATCTCAGCACTTTGGGGACTTTGCTTTTGGTCACCTTTACTGCCATGACAGCAAGGCAGGCTGGTTTATTTTCACTCATACCTCAAGTTTAACCAACCTCCAGACCTAACTGTAAATGACTTAAAGCTATTTATGAAAATAATTTCACTTTCGTGCTTGTTACTAACTGATTCTGTGACCTTCATTCTGTTACCTAATGTCTTAGATTCCATTTATCTCTCTAAGGCAAAGTGATTGGACCAAATGATCTCTAAGATCCCCTCTAGCTTAAGAATTCCAGTGCTAGTGATGGATAAGAACCTAGAAATGCTCACAAGAATGTGTGACAGGCTCTGGAAAGAATGGGATAAAAGACCACTGGGCTAAAAGCAAACCAGACAATAACATTAATCTCCAACTTTCCAAGTCCTGGATACAGCCCTCTCCCAAAGAGGTATATTTATTTCTTCCAACATAGTTCTCTTTTTCTTCAGTCACTTTGAGTTCATCTCTGCCTTTTGGAACCAATGATTCCTGATTATGGCATTCACTTTTGCTGCTTGGCAAACTACTCTGAGCCTTTAGGATCCAGCTCAAGTATCTTCTCCAATGTGAAGTCTCCTTCAGGATAGGACTTGCTGTTTCCTGCAAACTGATTTACACAAGGGAAGCATGTGTCCCATGTCAACTTCCTCTAGCCATTCCTTTTTTCCCAATGAACTTCTTTTTTTTTCTTTTCTTTTCTATTTTTTTGGTACCGGGGGTTGAACTCAGGTCCTTGCACTTGCGCAGCAGGCAGCGAAACCACTGAGCTAAATCCTTGGCCCTGAACCTCTTGAAAGCAGAGCAAATATTGCTCACTGAATGTCCTGGTACCTCAGTAAGGTGAACAGTAAAGGCCGCTCCATGGCTGAGTAACATTCAAAAAATGAATGGACTCACCAGATGGATAAAAGGAATGTTTCCACTTTCTGTCAGTGATCTCTCTGGAAAGATGATGACGTTCACTGAATACCCTGTGCTGCCTGGGAGCAGGTGACTGAGTTCTTAACTATGCAATTAGCAACTTGGAGTCTTCAAGTCTGGATAAATCCCTCAGGAAAGGCCTATGTTTTATTTTCACCTTCTTCGCCCTTCTTCTCACTTGGTTTTGGTTTGGGGTAGTTCCAAGTCATTTTATGAGCCCATGTTCAAGAACTAATGTCATGCATTAGCCAGGAAAAACCCCTCTCTCCTCTGATGATGTGTCATAGCCTGTATGACTGAGTGGCCTGGTGAAGCTGAGACAGGTGAGGGTGCCCAACACCACCTTGGAGATACTGCCCCAAATGCCTCACAGCTGGCCACTGTTACAGCAGACACCCACAGCTGCTCTGGGAGATATTTGCTTTGGCTGCAGCAAACTTCAGCTGTGGGTTCATTCCAGATGACTCCTCTCCTCTGCACTTATCCTGAGTCAGGTCCCCAAAGAGCTCCTCCCCTCCCCTGAAACAGCAAGTCTGACAGTGCACATGTGTGAGCCTGTCTTTGTTTTCCTGTAGAAGCAGCTTCCCTGTAGTCTTAGCAGGTCAGCCCATGCTCTGTTCTCCCTTACAATGCAGCCTAAGTCCCAAGAAAGCCTTTTTCAGATGGCATATTATTGCCTACATTTAATTTCTATCTTAACTAGAGCAGGCCGAGCTGGTCACCAATGGTCACTGGCACTGAAAGAGGCCCAGTAAGTGGGGGTGGAAATGCTAAAGGTGGCTATAGCCAGAGAACAATGGCAAACAACGGAGCACCACCAGCTGCCTTCACTAGGAGAGTTCCTGAGTGCTGTCAGGGGAAGGGCAGAGCTGATAGCCACTGGCTTTCAAAGCTGAGACTGTTAACACCAAAGGAGCAACAGTTCACTGTTTGTGATTTTTACCTGAATTGAGCAAAAGAACACTCCACCGGTCAGTGACGGACATATTCCTAAATGCCAGTCGAGCCCTCCTAACCCTCTGTCTGAGCAAAGACTTATAACTCATTTTAGCAGGCTCCAAAGCTGTGGGACCCTCTGTCGAGGTTGCTATGTTTGTGAGGCTGGCTGATGGGTCCCTGTAATGTGAGAGAGGGCTGGGGCTGTCCAGAAGACAGGGCAAGAGGGCTCTGCTGGCCTGTGGTGGATACGAGATCTTCCCCAGGAATGTGTCCAGAGCCTTCTCTTTCTCGTCTATTATTCCCTCTTTCTTGTCTATTATATTCCCTCCTCTGCTCACCCTGCCTGTCCTCCCCTCCTCCGGCTTGGGCAGTGCATTCCCAAATCATTCTCCATGTTTAATTTAACACCGGGGCCAAGCCTTCAAGTGTACAGTGCCTGACTAAGTTCCTAAAGCACAGCATTTCACTGTTTCTCTGCCTCTGTGCTTTTCTTCTGGTCCCTCCACATAGACTGCTTTTCTACAGCTGTTCCTGTCAAAATCCTATACTATCCTCAACAAAAACACCAGTAACAATAACAAGTATTATTTGTTGACTGTCTGTTCTATAGAAGTCTTCATGACAGATATTCTACATATATATTTTATTTAGTCCTCACGATGGTCCTGTAAAATGAAGATTATTGTACCCATCTTACATATAAATACCCACGGCTTGAATGCCCAAGGTAGATACAGCAGGTGAGTTACAGAGGTGGGAATCAAACAACAGTGGGTCTGACATGAAAGTCTGCTTTTCCTGTCATGCCACTGCAAGACCAGTGATCTCTGCAAATATGACCTCCTACATCCTTGAGCACTGCTGTCAAAGTATTATTTTGCTCCTACCTCCCATAGCATTTTGTAAGTCTTTTGGGAAAGCTACATACTGAATTAAACTGTGTAGCATAATACAAACTTACTATTATTTATGTTGTTTATCATATTTCTGTGCCAGAAAGCCTCATAGATGAGTCAGGTAAATCTATAATCACCCTCAGAAAAAAAGAGTCATATGCAGGTCCAAATCATGTAAGTCACTAGTTTTCATTTTTCAGGTTTTAAAATTTTGTTTTGTTTTTTGTGGTGCTGGAGATTGAACCCAGGGCCTCAAACATGCTAGGCAATTGCTCTGCCACTGAGCTTTCCCCCCACCCCCAGTTTTATTTGGAAAACATATCTAAAGCTGCTTTAGTGTGTAAGTAAGAGCCATGGTTTTTGAAGCCTTGCACTCAAATCTGTGGCCATCATTTCCCAGGTACGCGATGTTGCACAATTTATTTCAATTTTCTCTTTATTTGTTTACTGGTCAGTGTAACAAAGGATGATAATAATAGTGTGTACCGCATAGGGTTATTGTAAGAAATAATAGAACTGTGCTTGGTGAGTAGTCAAAGTTTAATAAATATTCTTTGTTAACTATTATGAAATATAAATACTATTTCGAGAGAACGTTTGGAGCCCCTCTTTGGGGGAGGATTATTCTTCCCTGTCCCATCTTGGCTTGACTGTGTGACTTGCCTTTCCCAGTGAAAATTACAAAGTGACAGGTGCCACATCTGAGCAAAACTTTATGAGCCATTGTGTGGTGAGCCACATTACCTTTTCTTCTGCTACAAAACCAGCACTGTCCCAGCTGAGGGCTGTTGTGTCAGCCTGAACCTCAGAATGCAAATGATAGGTGCAGTGCCACACCCAGCCTTGACAGGCAAGTCACAGGAGTGAAGCATCCAGCTTTGCTTTTGTAAGCTACTGAGATTCAAAGGTTGTCAGCCACCATGTGGTCTCTTACCCTCCACTGACTGATACAGTTGTTAAACTAGATTTATGGAAAGCCTCTTATTTAAGCATTGACTGCTCTAGGATTACTGTTTGATTTGCCACAGACTTAAGCCATTAGCAGTTTTTAGATCAGCCTGGCAGCCTACTTCTGACCGAAATAGCTTTGGAACTTGGTCTTACAGAAATCGGATGATTCCAGAGTCTCTGGATATTTGTTATCAGTTGTCTGCCAGTTCTTCGCAACCCACGGAGTCTCTGTTTCTAAAGTAAAGGCTATGTTAACAAGCTTTTCCTAACAAACAAGCATATGCATGAAGTCTCAGACCAGGCCACCCCAGGGCCTAGCACACACAGCTGTATCAGCTGCTCCTAGTTCTCTGAGGATGACAGAGAGGGTTGAAAGGAGTGTCTGGGCTAAGCTGTGCTGTGAGGAAAGCCACTGGCTTTCCTGGGCCTCTTTTCAGGTGAAGCTAGCTCTACACAGCAGGTTTATGACCTCAAAGAGTGGCTTTGGTCTGTCCTGAGATTTTTGCCTCAGATTGACTCCAGCATGGAACACTGTCAGTCCAGCCTCCAGAACACTCCTCACTGTTGCTGATTACTTCAACTAAATAGGCAGGGATAAGGGAAAACAAAGCAAAACTAAGAAACTATGCATGAGTGAAATAGAAAGTTCCAGATTCTTTATAAGAAGTTCATCCGGTTAAAATTCTTTGTCTATAGTCAAAGATTCTTTCTGAGATGGATAACTACTTGAAGTTCTGCTTACCAAATTTGTGAGGTTAGGATTCCCAACACTTTCTTTCTTTCTAGGGAAGGGCCCTGGGAAGACCCTGATATCCTACCCCATCCTTTCCTAGCAAAGTGCCCTAAGGAGGCATCTGTAGCAGGCTAAGAGGTTCATCTGTGGCCTCCAGAGGGTAATCTGCTCAGGATCTGGTGAGGGAGGATTACCCTCACGGGGTGGTTAAGGACTGCTCTTCATTTCATATGGCAACATACCTTGGGCACTTAAGAAATACAGCCTGTGAGTGACCTAAGCTCATTGAAGGTAGTCCCGGATCTGTAAATAACAGTGATGATGATGATGATGATGATGATGATGATGATGATGATGATGACACCACAGGATGCTTACTTAACCCTTACCATGTGCCAGACACCGGTCTAAATGTGTGCGTCACAGTAAGATAAGCCCCACAGTTATCACTGTCTTAGAGCTCAGAAAATGGAGGTAGACTTGAACAAGGTCACACAGTTTGCAAGTGGCAGAGATGGAACCTGAATCCAAACTTCATGACCCCAAAGTCTATGCGTTCACTCCTACATGTTGCTGCCTTTTGCTTTTCCATCCTGTTTATCATGCATGTGCCCAACTCTAACTATCCCTCTGCTACAAGGGACTATGGAGAAATGGTGATGTCAGCAATATTTTGTGCAATTTATCAATAATCTCAGAAATGGTTTTGTTTTTTTTTTGTACCGGAGATCGAACTCAGGTCCTTGCGCTTTCGAGGCAGACACCAAAACCACTGAGCTAAAATCCCCCAACCACTGAGCTAAATAATCTCCATGCTGACAAAAACAATACAAGTACTATTCACTGAGCATCTTCTTGTCTTCTCAGTCTTAGCTTCCTTTTTCTGGTTAATTCTGTCCTCACTGTAAAGGATTGTGGGGCAGGCTTCCAGTGAAGCTTAACTCAGTCTAGAAATGGAACCTACAAGGTTTTTTAGAAACCCAGTTGACTTTTTCCTAAGTGTCTCTCCAGACACCTTCACGATCCTTTTCTTTAAGAGAAGCTTTCTGCGGCTCCCCTGTGACTATGACAAAATACAGCTCTCAAGATGACTTCAGGGGGTATCATCTCCTGGTCACCATCTGTATCCTTTTAACAGCTCCATCAAGTAGGTACTCTTACTATTTTCATGGCCTCACTCTTTTTTTTTTTTTTAAATAAGGAAATGAGGCTCAGAAGAGTCAACACAGATTTTTCTTGCTCAGAAACAGAAGCTTCAAAATTCCAACTAGATTGTGATTTTGAGGGCCACATCTTCAGTCACCACCCGCCTCACCCAGGTATCCAGAGGGAGGAATCTGATCCCCTGAGTTTGCAGCAGGAATAATTGTACCAGGCAACAGGGCTACACAGTACAGAAAGGTGGTGGGAGTAACCCTGAGGAGTGGAGGGTAGGGCAGGGAGGAATAGCACTTCTTAGAAGTGGAACATTATGTGTCAAGCAGGTATTCAAAAAAGTGTATTCCATGTCATACGGGAGTTCCGATTCTCCAGCTGTTACTCATGAAGGAATTGCAGATTACGATGATTAAACAACTTGTTGCAGGCTACCTGTAAGTGAGAGAGGCAAGACTGTAATTGCTGGGCCTTACTTAATTATAACACGCTGTCAGAGAAGGATGGCTGGGTTCGTCCAAGGAATGTATTATATGGCAGGTTGTGTTTTCTAAAAAGAGCCATAACAAATATCTCCCACTCTGCATGGTCTTAAAATAAAGCTTTGACATTTCTCCATTGAAATAAAGGAGCTATGGTTTTCTCCTTGAATCTAGGCTTGTGTCTATGGCAGAAGTGGCACTATATAATTTCTGAGATTAAGTCATAAAAGATGAGAACCACCCTCCCCCAGCACCCTTGAAATGCTCACCTCGGAACCCAATTGCTGCACTTTGAGGGAGCCTAAGCCAGCTTTGTGTCACTGTGACAAAACTCCTGAAATAAACAATTCAAAGAGGAAAGGTTTATTTTGATGCAGTTTCAGAAGCTTCAGTTCATAGTCTGTTGGCTCTGTGCTGTTGGGCCTGTTGGTAAGGCAGAACCTTAGGGCAGGGAGGATCTGGTAGGAGAGCAAAGTGAGAGGAAGGGAAAGTGGCAGGGACTTAATATCTCCTTCCATGCCACACCCGCAGTGCCGATTTCCTTCGCTAGGCCTCATCTCCCCAAAGCTTTACAACCTCCTGTAGTGCTATGGGCTGAAGACCAAGCCTTGGGCATCTGGTGGACACTCAAGATCCACCTGTCCCTGCAGAAAGACCATATGGAGAAGACCTGAAAGGCCTCAGAGAGGGAGAAATGCCTGGCCAGCTCCAACTTCAGCCACCATCTAAATGCAATCTTGTGACAGAACTAGAGCCAGAACTGCCCATGTGAGCCCTTCCCCATGAAGTTCCTGACCTACAGAAACTGTGGGAGAAGTTACTATGATTACTGTCTGGAGCTTCTAAGTTTTGAGGGAGATTTTTTTATACAACATCAGTCAGAACAACAGAAGTCTTCAGAAGGTCACAAGAGCCATCTTTAAATATAAATATCTAAAGGGCGTTACACATAAGAAGAGTTAGAATTGCAATGTGAAGCTTTAGGAGGCAGCACTTTGATCACCAGTTAGAATGACAGGGAAATTTGCTTCATCACGGAGGACTTCTCTAAGCACAGAACTTAAGAAGGAGTGATCGACAGTGTGTTCGGCTACTCTTCCAAGTTGAGCACTAGACATTCAAGCAGAGAAGGGATGCTGCTATGGTTTAGATCTGAAATGTTCCCCTAAATTCCCACGCTCAGAGATGAGGCTAGGTCAGAAGGGGCAGCTCCCTGGGGCAAGACCCGCTAGGGTGTATCTCCCTCCCTGGCTCCTCCCTTCTTGCTCTGCTTCCGGGTCCTCAAGGGAGGAGCAGATTTTCTGCGCTGAGGCCCTTCCGCCGTTTCTGCCTTGGAGCCAGCGGACCCAGGGACTGTAACTGTGAGCCAAAATAAACCCTTTCTCCTTTAAGTTGTGTCAGGACTTTCGCCGCCCCAGCGATGAGAAAAGTGACTGAGACAGATGACAGTTTTGGGAGCTGTTATAAAAGGGTCTAGAAGAACCCAGAAATTACTTTCTAAAAAAATACAATTCCTAATAAACAAAGGTAAAATGTTTTAAAGACTATGCCTTAACTTTAAACTTTAAAGATTTGGACCGGGAAGGTAGCTCAGTGGCACAGCACCTGTCTGGTAAGTGCGAGGCCATGAGTTCGATTTCTGGTACCAAAAAAAAAAAGAGGAAGAGGAAGAAGGAGAAGCAGCAGCAGCAAGGACTAAACCAAGCCTTTCACGTTGGAGAGGGTTGGAAGAGCAGAAAGAAGGGCCCCTCTGCAGAGCCAGTGGACACTTTATTCAGCTCCCACCTCAGTCATGCCCCTCTCACCTCGAGACTCTCGGTCCCTGCCCTTTCCCGAGGTTCTGCTCCATTACCCTCCCGGTTTTGCTCCCAGTTAGCGCCTTCTTTTGCTCCCCCCAATCCTCACATCTGACCGGTGGCTAAATCAGCCCTTTTTTATCTGCACAGTAAGTCCTGCCTCTGTGTCTTTGGCTCCATTTGCACCATCACTGGCTTTGTTGGCACCATGGTCACCCCTCATCTGGATGACTGCAGCAGCCCTCTGCGTAGACAGGTGGGTGCCAAATTAATTCCTCTCGAAGAATGCCTTCCGGCTGCCTGTTCAGACTCCAGAACCAAAGCCTGCATTACATTTCCCATTGCCTTTCCAACAAAGGTACACTTTCTGTCTGAGGCATTCCAGGCTTTCATGATCTGGTAGAGAGTGAGGGCGAAAAAGAATTGAAGGAAGGAAGATTAATTTCTGTGATTCCTGCTTTTGTTTCCTAAGACTGCCATAATAATTTAGTACTGTGTAGTGTAAAACAGCAGAAATTTACTGGAGCGGCCAAATGTCCAAATTCAAGGTGTTAGCAGAGCCATGGTCTCTCTGAAGGCCCTGGGGAAGAGTCCTTCCTCGATGCTTCATAGCTTCTTGAAGCTGTCAGCAATCCTTGGCATCCCTTGGCTTGTAGGCGCACCACTCGAATCTCTGCCTCTGTTTTCATATGGAACTAACTCAGTGTGTGTGTGTGTGTGTGTGTGTGTGCCCAAATCTCCCTCTCTTTTCTCTTACACAGACCCCACTTTTTCTTCACTTTTCTTTTTTGGTACCGGGAATCGAATCCAGGGCCTCGCACTTGCTGGGCAGGCACTGCGCCACTGAGCTAAATCCCCGGCCCGACCCCACTTTTTCTTAAGAAGACTACATTTTAACTTGTTATTTCTGCAAGACTTTGCTTCCAAATAAGGTCACATTCACAGGCACTGGAGGTCAGGAGTTGAGTGTGTCTTTTGGAGGATACAACTCATCTCTTTATAATTCCCAACTGGTGGAAATTGCTGGAACAGTGGCTTAGAATGGGGATAGCATCTTGCTCCTGAAGAGCTCCTGGATGTACTGAACAATTTCAGGCACCATGGGAGGTAATATTAAAAAGGACAAGCTTTTCTACTGTTTTGAACAACAGAACAGGCATGATCAGAGCATAGAGTTTTAGTTTCATGACAAAATCAGCATGGAAGCTGGATGTGGGAGACATTGGACATAAAGGTTAGTTAAGAACATGTTTAGGTAGCTCATGGTGAGAAGATATGCAGGGAACTAGATTTCTGCTTATTGAGTTCAGCAATAATCAAGGGGCCTTTAGTCAAGAGCCTGGAATGGATGCTCCACACACATTTGTTGAATAGCTGGATGGACAAAGTAGGGTTGCAGCAGTAAGAATGGAAAGCAGAAACAATCCAACAGGCCCTTCAGAGGTGGACTGACTTAGTGGCCTGTAAGAGGGTGGGGGTGAAGAAGGAATATCAGGCCTCACTTAAAGTCAGGCTCTCAGGCTTATGGGGGCTGGGGAGGGGTACAACTCAACGATAGTGCTTGCCTAGCATGTTCAAGCCCTGGGTTCAATCTCAGAGAGAGACAGACAGACAGACAGAAAAATAGGTTTATAACTTGGCACCTGTTGGTGTCAACAAACCTCATACTCCTACCAGCTGCCACACGCTGCCTGCTATAAAATGCATCTCTGGCACGCCATGTCTCTGACGTTGGCTGATTCTGGAGTACAGGATTCGGAACACTATTCTCATGTGTGCTCTCCTCAGCACCCTGCACACAGTAGGCCCACAACTGAAATTCCAATAAATGTTTTCATGAATGAACGGATTTCTCCATTTAAGCAACATCGGGTGGAAAAAAACAAACAACCAACCTCCGGCTCTAAACTCCAGGATTCATACTTGTGCGTGTTTCCAAACGCCTGGCGCACACTAAGGGCCCTCACAAGCACTTGTTGAACCGCACAGAATAAATCCTATTCTCCTAGATCCCCCGCCCTGGCAGTGAGGTCTGCGTTTGGCAGGATGACAGAATCCACTGCTATGACATTCTTATGTAAGAGCTAATGACCCTCTCGGCCCACTCGCCATCTCTCCCACTACAGGAGGCCAGGAAGGGCAGGGAAGCGAGTGCACACCGTTGACAAACACCGTTTTGGTGGCGGATTCACCGATTCTTCGCTGGTCTCTCTTCCTCACAAAGGTCCCCTGCCAGCCCGCGGGCGGCGCGCCGGGAGCCGGGTGCGCTTCGTGGGCCAGGCCTGCGCACTGCGCGTCCCCCGGCCCCGGGGCTCTGGGTGGCGGGCCCCGCCTCGGAGCCCGCCGTCCCGGGGCCCCGCGCCGCTCCAGGCCGCACTCGGCTCCCCAGGGGGGCGAAGATGGCGGCGCGGCCGGGCGCCCAGCGGCCGCGAGGGGTCGCGGTGCTGCGCGCTTGGCTGGGCCGGCGCTGCTAGAGCGGCCCAGGGCGCGCGGCGGCCTCTCCTCCTCTCCTCTGCTCTCCTCTCCTCTGCTCTCCTCTCCTCTCCCCGCCCGCTGCCTCCGCCGCCGCCCCGCGCCCCGCCCCGCGCGCCCCTCCCCGGCCCGGCCACCCCGCGTCGCGCTCCCCCGGGATGGCCCGCGCGCCCCGGCTCTGCCTCGCGGAGCACTCGGCGGCGGCGCGGCGCGTGAGGGGCCGCCTCGGGCCGAGCGGGCGCCGCCAACATGTCGGACACCAAGGTAAAAGTTGCCGTCCGGGTCCGGCCCTTGAACCGACGAGGTGAGGAGCTTTCCGCTCGTTTCCCTTTCTGCTCCGGCGGAGGGCGGGGGCAACTTTGGAAACTGCAAGGGCGGCGGGACCGGCGGCGGCCGCGGCCCGGGAGCCGGGAGAGGGCTCAGCGCCCGGGGCGCCGGCTCCTGACTCGGCCGCCTCCCAGGGGGACCCGGCTCCGGGGGCGCGGATGCTCGATTTTGCAACGTTCGCGTGCCCCTGTGATTTCAGAGCTGGAGCTGAACACCAAGTGCGTGGTGGAGATGGAAGGGAACCAGACGGTCCTGCATCCTCCTCCCTCCAACAGCAAGCAGGGAGAAAGGTAAAGCGGTTCGGGGAGGGCGGCGGCAGGACCCCACCTCGCGGCGTCCTGCAAGTTTGAGCCCGGAAAATGGGAGAGAGAGCGCTCTCCTATTGTTAGGAGGGCGGCTTCAAGTTTGTCGCTCCTCCTGTGGGAGCTGTTCCAAGTCCAAGTTCCTCTCCTCCCGCTGTCGTCCTCGCTTCTTGTCCTCTCCAGTCTAGAACGGTGTCGGGCAGGGGACCCCGGCCGGGACCAGCACCAGTCAGCTGTATCCCCTGTGGGGTTCAGGCCATCCGGAGAGCGAGGGGGCGGGACGGAGCCCTGAGGGTGATTAGTTCAATGGCCACATTTTACAGCTCGGAAAACTGAGGCCCGACGTGGCCAAGTGACCAGGCTAAGTCCTTGTTGGTGGAACTCAGCACCCTTGATTCTTAGCACCTCGCCATTTGCTTCCCTTGGCAGAATTATTCGGGGACGTTGTGTGTAAGGCGGGGGTGGCCGCAAAACCCGCTTGTAAGACTCAGGCCCAGGCTAGCTCACTTAAAAATCTATTTTTTTGTTAGCGCTGAGTTGAGCTAATGCCTGAATATAATGTGCGAATTTTGATTTTCAAGGAAACAAAAGTAGTACCCTGAACTGTATGGACGCTGAGAGGATGTTTAAAGGAGGCTGCATTTACTAGATGGCAACATATTTGCATTTGAAAAGTGGTAACTGTTGGATCCTTATTAATTCTGCTCTGTTCCGTGCAACGGTATGGGAAAATGCCCTAAAATAATTTGAATTTTGGGGATTTTTCTGGTAAGCTCCCAGAAGAAATCGGTTGGAATTCATTCAACATGGCAGTGCAGTAGCTTGTAAAAAAAAAAAATGTAGAGGAGAAACCGAGATTCTACAAAATTAATTCCTGAAAATGACTATGCGTCTCTAAAAGTTACCTGTTGATTGATGAGCTACAGTGTAGTAATTTTGCTCTTCAGAGCTTTTCACCACGGGAGATTCTGAAGCAGGGTTTGTTATTTTATTGCTAAAGGGGGCAGCTGTTTCCGTTCTGTAATCATGTGGTACTCTCCCGCACTGTTTGCTAAATTAGGGGGATGAAATTATGAGGAGTAAGGATTGGGGAGTCTTTGCTTTTTGTGTAATTTTTTGTGCAATTTTTATCCAATTTGCAAACATTCTGCTACCCTTAGCAGATTCTTATAGTGATATTACATAGCTAAGTTACATTTATGATGTGGTGTTAAATACTTTTTAGTAATGGATCTATCCTCTGGCAGTATTTTTAGACAAATTAAAAATACTGTTTTACAATACTGTATTTTTAGATACATCTATAGCAATGTTGATAGTATATTTCATGGTGATAGTAACTAAATTTTTTGAGTTAATTGAACTATGTGGAGATTTATTTAACCACTAAAAAGAAATTATAAATTAGCCACTAAAGCCCCAACCCCACGCTCCCAAACTGGGTATTGTATTATTTCAGAAAAAATTCATTAGGTCAGATTCTTCAAGCAGCCTGGGAAACAGGTAGAATATTTAAGTCCTGTTTTGTAGATCCTGCTTCTGTTTTCCTTGCTGGTTTGGCACCTGCTTCTTGTCACTCTTAAATGTGGAGTGCTACTGAAGTCTTGTCATTTGTGCAAAGATATGGATTTAATTTTGTGGAGTTTGGATAGAATTTATAACTGTGGACAGTGGGTTCCAAATGCTAAATAATCAGTTGGATTGTATATAAATAATCAAGTAATTTAGTCTTTCAAGTAAAGGTTTTTCAGGTGCTTTGGGGATTTACCCATCGGCTTGCGAGCTGTAAAGATAGCACTGAAATGGGTGCTCTCCGGTTCTGTCCCGACAGACCTGGTTCTCTGTGGTGTGTGGGACCTTTTCTATGGAATTCTGCCAGTGCCGCCGTCATTCCGTTTATAGACACGCTAAGGAGAACCAACACATCTTTGCTGCTCGTAGATTAAAATTACTATCTTTACAGGGATGAAGACACCATGTGCATTTTGATTTCCATTATACCTCTTGGTTTCATATTTCTTTAGGGAGTTTTTCCTTATAGCAAGAGTGCATTCAGAATAGAAATGAATCTTCCTTTGGGCTTTGGGTTGATTAATTGCAACTCTTCCTCCATGTTGTATTTGCAACTCATCTCTACCATTTGTTTTGGGACAGAGCTCAAGGTAGGGCAAGAGTGAATGAGTAGAATAATGAGAATATTATTGTTTTTCATACCTAGCAGTTTAAGGCTTGAAATATGAGAGGTCCTTGAATAAATATCGGGGAACTTGTGCCAAATTGAAAATTACTGCTTTTCTGAAGGTTCCAAAACATTACCAATGCATTAATCCAGAGCAGAAATTCAGTTTCTGGATGAGTGTTTTCCATCTTACCAGTGAAAACAAATGAGAATATATGGACTTCCAGGAAAAGAAACAGACAAGCTCAGCTTTCCTATTTTCCCTTTATAGAATTAATGCCAAGACCGCATAGTGAGGACTAGAAGGTTTCTGAGGTTAAAGGTGTTTGTTTTGGTGCTGAGCTTCTAGGATTAAAATACAGTGCATAGATCCAGATTAATACTTGACACCTGTACTGTTCACCATTTTGAAACATTAAGTCCTATATGATTTGTTTCTTGAAATGTGATTGCATTGCTACTCAAGAGACATGCGCAAAGTTCATGGAAGTACCCTGCCTGGTGAAGGGGGTCCAAAGATAACTGCAGATTCAATGCTTGTGCCAGAGACTGAGAGTTGTGGGAAGAAAGGGGAAAAGTTGGAAATACAATGTAGCAGTTACTCGGTATATACTTCTGCTGTTACTTGTACTGTATTGTTGGGAAATTCCCTGTTTTCACTTCTCACTTGCCCTGGAAGCTGTGAGCTCCCTGAGGCCAGGTACTTTGTCCTTGCACAGTGACTGGCACCTAGCAGGTGCTCAGCGACTATCACCAGTGTGATGGCAGCAATGCAGAAGGGCCATGCAAGCCACCTAGGGTGCAGGCAGCCTGGCTGGTGGCATTTGTGCTGGTCTTGTGGATGCTAAGAGGTGGATTCACTTTTGGAAGATGAGGTGAAAGTCCTTCCTTGAGGAAAGTGAAAATACATTCGCTACAAATTACCTCTGGGTGATTATGTATGTTTGAATGTGGGGTGTGGAGTAGGAAGTGGAAGCAAAGCAATTTACTTGGGGGTAGGAGTGGAATGAAAATCCCTACTTTGCCAAGTGGGTGAAATATGTAGAGTGAAAAGTCTTTTTCTCATCTTTGCTGTTACCCCTACTTTCCCCATCCTTTTACCTCTGCAAAAAGGGTAACCAAAATCATTTATTTCTCATGCATATATATATATATGTGCATGCATATACATACATACATACATACACACATACACATGAGTATATCTGGCTTGAATATATTCAACAAATGTCTTTGGTGTCTTTCAACATTAGTGTATGAAGACTCATTCATTCTTTACAGCCAGCATAGATGATAATGGTGGTTTTTAAAAATATTGATCATTGGCTTATGGATTTGATCCTTCTAACTGTTGGTAAGTGAAGCTTTGTCATAGGTAGAACATAATGGAACTTGCTTTCTATAGAAGTTTCTGTTATTTTATGTGAGTGAATGGTAAGGTTAGCCTCCAAAGTAATGTGCATATTGAATCTAGCTAAGTTAAAAAGAAAATATTGAGCCAAATATAGGACTTTAGTAAAAAGTCATCAAAAATTTTTAACTTCCTGCCCATTTTTTGATACCAGAAGGTGTGCAGTATACCTTGCACTGTGTATTGAAGTGCAGGTCCGGTAGAAGGGAAGCTACCTGTTGGTCAATTGCGTACATAGTTTCTAGTTTATGCATTGTGTGTTGCAAAGTTTTATTTCCAAGCTGCCTTCCATTCCAAAGGCTTCTAGGATGGTTCCTTCTGTTCAAGGGTCTTTGTAGACGAGAAGTTTAAATATTAGTGAAAACTGTATAAGAGTAGAAAGATAAATCACCTAAGAATCAGGAATATTCCACATTATGAAATCATTTTGGGGACTTTGAATTCTGTTTTCTGTGTTGTTCATCTTCTCTGGGTTTATTGCAAAGTTGGTTATATACATATATACACACATATATATACATTTATAGAAATCAGAAGAAACTTCTCCAGAACACAAACTTATATATATATAGAAACTTCCTCAGAAAAGTTATAAATATATATATACATTTATATAAATA